ATCTACTTAAGAAATTTGTTAAATGAATTGACAAATAGTTTAACTTGCATTGTGTTGTATAACGACAATCAAAGCGCACAGAAGTTGTCTATAAATAATACTTTTCATGAGAGGTCTAAACACATAGACATTAGACATCACTTTATTCGTTCGACCACATCTTGTGCTCTGAGAGTCTGATAGAGGTGGTCGATGATCCTAAACTTTCCTATTCCGTCAACTCCTGTAACCATTTCTTACAAAAATCATAAATTTACAGACGTCAAACGATTCCACCTCCTCATCAACCAAAAACTTTATTCTCTTGACAATCCTGAACTTAACAATTCCATACAAATTGACTCGATTCAAAAAATTATTTCTAAATCAGACGACTTATCCACTCCGACCACAACCAGACGAATCGATCAACCCCCACTTCCACCTTATCTCATAACTCTCATCAAAAGCAAGCGAAAACTCTACAGAACTTTCATCCGAACTAGAGACCCAGTCCTAAAAACCGAGTGGAACCGTCTTAACGCTCGCATACGTCTCCTCATCAACAAATTCACCCAGAAAACACACCTTCCATCTCCCGGCTTTCTGGAACAAATTCAAAGTCCTCACTGGGAAAAAACGGAAAACCGACAGTCACCTAGTGACTGACGGTAACATCATTTCTAACCTTTCCGACAAAGCAGAAGCCTTCCGCGAAAATTCCGAACACACCTTCCATCTCCCTAAAGACCCTCAAATCGATAACCCTTTTCTAAACCACATTCACCAGCAATTGCCTGCACAGCTGGGTAGGCACCCAGGTCGCACCAAGTCCCCTTGAAGCCAACTGCACCCTAAGATCCCCATTCAATACTATCCACAGCGGTAGAAATACCGCTCCTGGCCCAGATTCTGTTAACCGCCGAGTACTGAAAAACCTTCCCGATTCCGCAATTCCTTTCCTCAAACACATCCTCGATGCTTGTCTTATACACGCCTACTTCCCAAACGCCTGGAAACTCCTGGCTAACACAATCTTAATTCCAAAACCCCACAAGGATCTCACTAATCCCGACTCATACAGACCTATCAGCCTGCTTAGTTGCCTGGGCAAATTACTGGAACGACTTATGACTAACCGTCTGAACGACTTCCTCATACATCACAGCATCATCCCTCCCCACCAGCATGGTTTCAGGACCGAACACTCCACTCAGAACGCACTAGTCGAACTACATACCCACATATCCCAAAACATCAACGCATCTTTTGGCACTATTGCAATCTCTCTAGATATTCAAAAAGCTTTCGACAAGGTCTGGCACGCGGGCCTGATCTGGAAGCTTATTCAAATTCGTCTTCCTCATCATTTCATCCGGCTGGTAGCTTCTTACTTTTCTAACCGACAAATCTACGTTGAAGTCGGTGAAGCCTTATCCTCCCCTTTCACTCCAAAAGCCGGAGTCCCCCAGGGCTCAGTACTCGCTTCCTCCTTATTCCTCATCTACGCTCACGACGTTCCCACAACCCATAAAATCCTCCAATATGCCGACGACACTATCCTTTACTCTTCCGCTCCCAACACCCGCCGCTTGCAAATTCAAGCTCAAAACATGATCGACCATTTTGAACAGTGATGCAACAAATGGCGCATCAAAATAAACCCCACTAAAAGCCAAACTATCCTATTCAGACATCCTAACATCTCTATCCGCTCTAAATTGAATCCTGATAACTTAAATCTCAGACTTTTGGGGAAAAACCTCATACTGCAGAATTCGGTGTCCTATTTGGGGGGTTACCTTCACGAGGATCCTCAACTGGGAAATCGGCCTGAGAGAGACACTGGACAGAGTCCGGAAGAGAGCCAACCTGCTAAAAGCTCTGAGAGGCAAGCTCGGGAGATGCGACAGTAAAACTCTCCTTCATACTTATAAAACTTTCATAAGACCAGTCCAAGACTACAAAGCGATCATATACTGTTCGCTTCCCCCGAGACTATTCCACCGCATCCTAACAACCTTCGTAATATACATAACCTTCCCTACCGACACCAATTCCTAAATCTATACAACCTCACCAATACTACACTTATCAACCAACGATTTCAGGAACTTCAAGGACGATATGCGACCAGAACGATGAGCAGCAACAACACCGATGCCATCAACTCGCTCACAACGCCCTGGACTCTCCATGGAGGATCCAGAAGGATACCCAGGAAAAAGCTCCCCTTTCCCCCAGCCAGGCTCCTGGGAGGAATGGAAAACCCGCCGGAGCCGATCCAAGATATCCTAGAGGAATTCCCACTGGGAATCAGAAAGCGGACAGCGGATAGCAGCGTCCTGGAACTTTTTCACTTTACGTACCTTTGGCGACTTTTATTTAAGGATACGATCCACCATCTTCTTTTTCGACGTTTGAACTTCTTTTTTAATAGAGCACAACACATAATTATTGACGCCGCAGCAACGGCGACTTGCTCGTCCGGGCCTCCGCCTATGTCCATTGTAAAACTAAACATTCGAGGCTTTGCCCGAACATTTGTTATTTCCCACTACACAGCTAATAGTTCTACCCACTTGTTGAAATTCGATCGTATATTCGATTTTATGATTTCAAGTGATTAACCCTAGTTTTTAGGTGTCAGGCTAGACATTCTTTCGACCACACGTGAGTTCCAATCACCCATATTATTCAAGTGAGATTATAGTTGTATTCTCTATCCACTGGGAAAGGTGGGAGCAATAGGAGAATCATTGCCGTTGGTGTTTATTTTGAATTCGTTCAAAACCCTTTGAAGGGATAATCACTTGCTTCGTTGGACTTATCTGCTACTTTTTTCTAACCCCACCACCATCCAACAGGTAGGCAATCCCTCGTGCTAGATAGTTTTCTCCCACGATGATTTGGAGAGGTTATTGTTCTATCATTCACCAGGGCCAACAGAATAGTATTCTGAGGCATGAAGGAATGGTTCATGCAGTCGCTAATCGTTTACCTCGAAAAAGTCAATCAAATCATCAAGGATCTGCGTCAAAGGATTATTCACAACCTCACACCTCTTCCACAGCTGGAGCTTGTGAATACTGTGGACTCCAACCTCATTCACGTACAGGATGTCCTGCCAGAAATTCCATGTGCAGAAAATGCTCTTCTAAAGGTCATTGGGAAAAAGTTTGCAAAATGAGAAGTCTGAAACCCAGAAGAATGGTTCGAAATGTTAATGCAGGTTTAGAAAACAATGGTGAAGACGAATCCAGGGAATATGAAGCAGCAGGTATTTCAGCAGCAGGTATTTCAGAACATTTTTTAGGGACTATGTCTTTGCATAGTGGTCTTTCTAACCGAACTCATAATGAAATCACTCAAACTGTAGGAAAGATTTATGTGAATGAAAAAAATCAGTGGATGGTGAATTTGGAGATAATTGATTTTGATACTAAAGTTTCCTTTCTAATTGATACTGGAGCTGATATTATATGTTACCCTTTTCATTTATTGAAGGAATCAATACTCAAAAATATCATAAATTGTAATGATTGTATATTTGGACCTGATGGTAAAAATTTAAATGTGTATGGTAAAATCTCTTTTTCTCTAAAATGCGCAGATACTAGGAAAACTCACCAAGGGGATGCTTTCATTATAAAAGATTTAAAAGTCCCAATACTTGGGAGGCCAGCTATTCTTGATTTAGATATTTTGCATTTCAAAGCTGGTAATCTAATGACTATAGTTGATGAATCCAGGGATAGTTCAAAAGTTAATATTGCTCAAGAATATCCCAAAGTATATGAGGAATTGGGTAATTTCAAGGATGAAATTGATATTCATTTAACTCCAAATCCCAAACCGTTTGTTCAGTCAAGTCCAAGAGTTGTTCCTATTCCACTACTTAGTAAATTAAGAAATGATCTAGACAGACTTATTAAATTAGGTATCATTGAGGAAGTAGAAGAACACACAGCCTGGGTTTCACCTATAGTGGTGGTTCCGAAGGGTGACTCGGTATTTTTGGGTCAACAGTTTTCAGTTGAAATGAATTGATAAATTTTGCATTTCTTTCATTTATTTTACTTGGTTTAGCCTTAGTTGTAGAATGTATAGTGTTGTTGTATTTTTTTACAATTTCAGGAAGAATGTTGATCCATTTGTAAAATCCTTGATAGCTAAATTGTTTCCATAATGATGATTTTGAAGTTTTAATCATACGTTCACAAATACTAGCTTTTTAATTTGAAAAAGTACTATAATGGTTTATATCACATTCCTGCATCAGATTTTGAAAGTCCTTATTGTAAAATTCTTTTCCCATATCAGTTTGTAAGTTTTTTGGAGGGGTGCTCATTTGTTCTAATACAGATTTCATAGCAGTAGTGATATCTTTACCCGTTTTAGTATTTTAATACTCCTTCATCTTTTACTTAGAATCGTTTACAAGTCGAATGAGAAAAAAGTGAGGAAGTTTAGAATATATACAGGTTGGAATTGTTGTCGCTTACTGAATGAGTATGTTTGTATTCGTAGAGATATCAAGTTACAAAACATACCGGACCACTGTTTCGTTAGCAGACTCATTTTGCTCCTTGATTTTTGTATAAAGTGTATGCAAATAAGACCTATCAAAGTGATAACTAGATTCATAAACGACCCTGGTGGAATTTTGAATTATACTTGACTCTTTTATCCATATAAACCAAATCTCACTTTAAATTTAAGTTTGGTGAATAAAGGTGCTATGTACATAAAACTCAATTTTTCTCGTAAGTTACAACTTTTTTACAAATCAAAATTTATGGATATAAAAATAATGATTATACACCCATTTGATAAAAACCGCAAGCTGAAAGCAGAGAGAACAAACGGTTTATTACTATTTACTCAAAACTTCAGTTTTGTGACATAACACCTTTAGCCACTTAGGTCTTCAATTTTAAATGGTCCAAAATAAAAAGTTTTTTTTAAATTCAATTAGAAATAATGTTAAAATATTCATTACTTATAGATATCGTTCAATTATGATTTGAGGATACTCGAACTGAGGACATTTTTAAGAAGGCTTGACATGTTCCTCATATATGTCTCAAAAAATCATAATTTGATAATCAATTTATTTTCAGCTAACAAGAAAGAAACGTTTTCGATCGATGTTAATGGAATCATCAAGTTCTTCAAAAAATAACTCACTGAATATTTCATCGACTTCAGGGATGCAGAACGCTTCACTCTCATCCGTATCATCGAAAAATAGCTCATACAATTGTTCATTCAGTTATAAGAAACGGAAAAAAAATTAGCAAATTCATCTGAACATCTGAAAAATAATTTACGTGATGAAGGAATATCTGATTCCAAAAACTTAGATTCACGAGATGAAATAGCAAAAACATGTTCCTCTGTCTGTGACATAATTTCTGAAAATCTAGTAGTAACTCGGCCGTGTATCACCAAACATGTGAGTTTGGAGAGTCAAGATGTGAATATGATTTCTACTAAAAAAAATATCCATACTAGTCTGTATAATGACGAGAGATCCATTTAAACTGATAAACCTGTTACATCAGGAACAAAGAACGGGAAACGGGATCATTGTTTCTACTGTGAAGAAGAGGTGCTCAATTTTGCACGACACATTATTCAGAGATGTCATTCACATGAAATTGAAGTTATAAGAATAATGTCGATTCCTCCGAATACTCGTGAAAGAAAATATCTCATCAGTAAATTGAGACGAAAAGGTAATTATGTTCGTAATATGAGCGGATATTTCAAACCAGTTAGTACATCCCTGTCTAAAGATAATAATATTTTACCTTGACTAATTGTCTTGGGATTTTTTCATCAAAATTGTTGTACAGACATAGAAAAAAGTTGTTACATGATGAATTTGTCTCACTGAATGAGTACTGCGAATGCATTAAAGATCGATCAATTTCGTACTAACCTTAGAAGCTTCCGAATACAACTATAATATCGTATATTCTCAGCCACTAACACTGAGTTCCTTGCCAGAAAAAAACAAATGATTTGCTCTATTTTCTGTTTCTAAAAAGATTGTTTAGGTACAGAGATTTATCTCGCATACAGTGTTTTTGATTTTCTTGTAGTAGTAATAGGGGAATAAGTGACCACTAGGACTCTTAATTATACCTAGAAGAAATATACACCGATATTAAGCCGGTCCCAGACGCTACGCACTTCGGCGAAGTTTCGCTATGTCCAACACTTTGCGTAGGGTCTGGGAAGGTCACTCAAGCCAACCTTCGCACTTCGCCATAGTTTTTCCCGCTGATTGTCGGTAAAATAGCCCGAATCAAAGGACGCGAAGTTCGGCGAAGTGCGTTCCGTGACAGCTCACAGACGCTGCGTTGCTCCTTTGTTAATATTTTGTCTAATCAGTGCAGTATCAACTTGTGCTTGAGTGAGTAGCTAGTACTGGAGTGGAACAACGAAGTACTGAATGTTTTTTTGGATTTCTACCAAAAACAACACATACTTTAGAATCCCAAAAATCCAAACCACAAAAATCGAAATTTAATTCACGATGCGTGAAAAAACATTAAATCTTGCTTTAGTGCAGATTGTTCAATAAATGAACTGAAAAAGAAAAAAATTCGTTGATGGCCATATTCCGCCAGCAACTGATCAAGGTATAGGCCAGTATGAAATCAGGTGCTGGTGTTGATGATATCTATAAGTCTAACTGGAATGCTTATGAAAAGATGGCAAGTTTCTTGCAGCCAGTCTATATCCCAAGAAAAAGAAATGATACAGATGTAAGTAAATTAAAATTTTAATTTAAATTCTGTTTTTTACGTTGTTTTAAAGAAACTGAATAAAAATTATTTTATAATGTGCAATTTCCATTAAAATACTTATACACTGCTTTTCGTTAATCCCCCATTTATTTTTTATTTGCTACTACAACACAGTTAAAAATTGTTAACAATATGCGTCCTGTCATGGCAATTTTCCGATTGTGACAAAAAACTCAGCAAATTCATCTCTATAGTTTTTTGCTTGAAGTGCAGGTTTTCTTGGAATTTTTTGGATTGGCAGTAATGAGGTCAAATTGTTATTATCATGTCGCCATGATCCTGGAACTACATCCCCTTCTTGTTCACTATCGAGGGAACCTGGAGGTGTGTAGTTTGATGACGACGATTTGCTTTTTCTTAAAAAGTTATGTAACAATGTACAGGTCGAAACAACAGCGGAAGCTTTATCTGGTTGGAGTAGCATTGGTTTTCTAAGTACTCGGAATACTGCAGCCAGTATTCTAAATGCATTTTCTACCACTCGCCGGCTTTCCTAGTGTCAGCTTTCATCGAGTGAAGGTCGGCTTTGTTAAAATAGTTTAATATATGCCTGACTTCAATACCTATAGCGCCATCTTGACGCACCATCATGTATCACTATGTTTGTCTTTGTTCTTTTATGTATTCTTTTCATAATGAATAAATGAGCAGTCTGTGCTGATAACTTGTTATGTGCGCATCATTTAATTTTGCAATAGGTCATGGGCCCAGAATAACAGTTCCTATAACAAGTGCACAAGAATGGCTAGTAATTCATATATGGTTAATGTTCCTAAACTAAAAGGACGTGAAAATTATGATGATTGGGCGTTTGCAGTACATACTTTCCTGGTTCTAGAGGAAATAAAAAAATGCATCACGGAAGTAGTGGCTGACCACGATGCGAAAGCCAAAGCGAAGTTGATACTCACAATAGATCCGACACTTTACGTCCATATCAAGGAAGCGAAAACTGCGAAAGAGTTATGGGATAAACTAAAATCAATGTTTGATGACTTAGGAGTTTCGAGAAGAATCAGTTTGCTTAGGACCTTGATTTCTGTTCGACTTGAAAATTGTGATTCTATGACAGACTACGTGAACCAAGTTGTTGAAACTGGACAGAAACTAAAAGGTACCGGTTTTGAAATCAATGATGAGTGGATCGGAAGTTTACTTCTGACCGGCTTGCCAGAAAAATACTCTCCAATGATCATGTCTATTGAACATTCTGGAATTTCGATTACAACCGACGCCATTAAAACCAAGTTATTGGACATGGAGGTGGGTGCCGGTAAAATAGGTAGTGCATTTGCCAGCGCCAGTGGTACTAAACAAAAGCGTTATGTTGGTAGACATGAAACGTCAACGTCGAAGTCAAGCCCGCATGACAGATCTGACAGAAAAGAAATCAGATGTTATGGCTGTAAACAAACGGGGCATTTTAAAAATAAGTGTCCGATGAAAACAATAACATATTCTAAGACGTCAAATGCTTTTAGTGCAATATTTTTGAGCAGTTCGTTTGAAAAAACTGATTGGTATATAGACTCTGGAGCTAGTGCACATATAACCTCGAATGAAAATTGGTTGACAAACATTTTAGAAACAATTGTGCCTGAAATTATGATAGCCAATAAAACGACTATGAAAGTCAAGTACCGTGGTGATGTAAACATTACGACTTCAGTTAATAATCATATCCATGAAGTGACAATGAAAAATGTTCTTTGTATTCCGGAAGTAACCACAAATTTACTTTCATTAATTGAACTGATAAAGAATGGAAATTTTGTTGAATTTGGAGCAATAGGTTGTAAGATTTACAACAAAGAAAAGCAGTTGATTGCAGAGGCTGATTTAATTAATGGAATGTATAAAGAATAATATTAATGACCTATAATAATGTAAAATACTTTTCCGATCGGTTATGCAATTCATTGGAAATGCGATTTATTGAATAATTACAGGGAAGCCATCTGTAATGGTATATATACAGGAGATTATTATGAACTATTTGAATAGTGATTTCAGAAGA